ACTGTCTTATAGCTTATATCGTAACATTGTACTTGTACTCATCCTCACTTTTATTATATTTCATTTAATTTTGTAGCTTGTTATTTGGGGCGTGCCCCACCCAAAGGCAAAAGCAATTCGCTTGTGGCAACCTCGACCGACGGATTTTCACAGCCACCAAAGGCGATGAGAAAAATGCAAATTTAATTATGCCCCGAAACCGCACAGCAAACATTGCAAATGGCAGTCAAGTTTATTTTTGTGTTTGTTTTGCTTTTAGTGAGATGCTGTGTTGCTTTGTGGCTTTGTTGTATGTTGATTGTTGTGTGGAGTTTTCATTAGTTTTTTTCTTTGTGTGTCACTAGTAAGCTGTCCCAGACCATGGCATAGAAACGATATATTCTAACATAATGAACAGCTAGCGCACCCACTCAGTGGAAAAACAACCACAACCTTTGATAATTTATAGCATCGCGTATACGCCGTGTTGCCGATCAACAGATCGTGTAAGCATCTTTGCCAGCAATTACTATTGACAATTAATGGTCAGCATGTGCTGGCTCGAAGTGGTTTATCTTGAAATGCGATTCTCAACGACTGGACTCTGTGTAATTTTTATTTTTTATATTTTTTTTTATCCAAAAAGTGCAAGCTGACATTGACCGTTTGGATCGCCGGCCGGCTAAAAGTTAAGAATTGTTCAAGCTGAGTCATCATCATTATAGCCGTGTCTATTGCCCAGATGCTGGCCAGATTCTTTTCGGCCACAAGTCAAGTGCAATCGAATTGCAAATGAAGACAAATGAAGTGGCTTGCAGCAGCAGCTTACATACGTGCTTCAAGGTTGGCTCGCCTCAATGCGGAAAACATGACAAGAAGTTGCAGGAAAAATAATAATGAAAAAAAATTAAATAAAAAAAAAATACATAAAAACTGGACAAATGGAAATAACGACACTACGCGGGTATGGGGTATGGGGCAAAGCTGTCGTTAAAATGTAACATAAAAATCAGCTAATTGCTAACATTTAGTTATGTATTCCAGCTGCTGGAACGATCCCATAAATAAATGAATAGACACGACGACAACTGTCATGGTAAAAACTACAAAAAAAAAACACAACACCCTCAACTCTAGAGGCAAAATGGCAAAGGTTAATGAGGAAATTTTAAATCACAATGCGAGAGAAAATTAAAAATTATAATTATGAATATGAGTGGGCTAGTTAGCCTCTAGTTAAAGGCGGATGTCAAGACTTGTAGCTAACAAAAAGCTATCACAAGATCCCTAACATTTTTTACTTCTATATACATACATAGGTGTGCAATGTTAAAAGTCAAAAGGTTTCAAAAATAAAGACTATTTGTCTTAGAAACAAACAAAGATTTAAGTCTTTGTATATAAATTATTAAAATAATAAGAAAGTGCCTTAAAAATGAGTACCTTTTCAACCAAAAATTGTGTATGACACAAAACGAATAAGACTTGTTAGGACCAATATGCTCCCTCACACTTTCGAAAATATCAATCAAATTTATTAGAAAACCAAAGAAAAACCAGCTTAAAATCCATCATTTTTGACATTGACTTACAAGGGTCAACTTTCAGACAACCAACTGACTGGATTTGATTTTTATACCCAACACCCCAAGCCCCTCTATTAAAAAATAAAAAATAAATCTCAACCTGTTGTGAAAGTAAAGGCCTTTAGTTTTTCTTTTGATTTGGAAATTTATGAGCTGCTAAGGAAAAGTTGGATTTGGAAAAGCAAGAGACTGAAAACTGAAAACTGAAACTGAAAAGCTGTCGAGACACGAAACAACCCACGACCTGATCTGTGTTTACACGCATGCGCCGCTGTAAGTGCCACAAAAGTGCCGGAAAATTTCATGCCGCAGCTGATGAGTTGCCACAGGAGATGCCGTGCGGATAATGAGGCACGAAAGGGGAGGTCTGCCTGGGGTGCCAGTCCACAAAATAAAAAAGTGGGGAGTGCCTCCAGGCATTTGTGCCACGAGCGATGGGGAAAATGGATAAGAAAATTCGAAAAAATATGGAATGAATATCATGAGTGAGTGCCGTGAGTGATCGAGTAGAGATTTTTATGGGCTGGTCGGTTATGATAACTATAATCAAAGCTAGACCTTAATTAAAGTTGATTTTTTTAATGGGTGTTTGAAAGTTAAATGGTAGAGATTGGTCTTTTCAGAGAATTTTTTTTAAGATTTTGAAATATTACATTTTATCAAAAATAAAAATCATTAATCAAAATAATATTTTGTGGTATGTCACCTTGATTCGAGAGTCTTTTTTTTATTTTTTTTGTTGAGGAGTTCCACTTTGATTTTTTTTTGTTGGGTTGCACTTACAGCTATTGGTGGGGCGCGATAAGTGGGCCTGCCCAAGATGATTGCAGATGGCGATGATGATAAAAGTAATGACTACCCTGACGATGATGATGATGATGATGATGGACGCATTGAGGCGGCCATTTAACGCCCACTTAGACACGCTTCCCATTGCTCCATTACTCATTGCAACAATACAGACAACACAACACATCCAACGCGAACGCGAACGCGACACACCAACGAACAATAACAATGTGTTAATTATACGGCTGACGCCCACATCGCAATCAGATAGCATCGCATTTATACTCACGTACCGCACTGTACATGAAACTGAAGAAGACCCGTGACGATGTGCAATTTTTTTTCAGTTGTAAGTGTCGAGACATACATGCTCATGTCATGGTGATCGCACACTGCTGTTATATGGATATATATTTTCTATATATACATACTTTGGGGGGATTGGAGGGCTCTTAGACACACACCCAGGGGTATAGTCTCTTATTTTTTATTTTACTTGTATTTTTTTTTGTAATACTTTTTTTTTTGGTGGGCACGACGCGCTCAATTTAACGCATACGCCCCGTGGTACCTCAACTGTCGTGCAGCAACATCTATATTTACATCGACATCTCGCCATCGTCATCAGGGTCATCATGTTGTGGGTTTACTCCAGTTTTCAAATATTTTTGTTTCATATTTTATTCAACACTTTCATAATTGGCAAACAATAATTTAATTATAATTTTATAATTTGTATAAAATATATAAGAGAATACATATTTATAGAAAGAATTAGGCGCATAAGAGTATCTTTTTAGTCATATATGAAGTTTTAATCATAAAAATGCACCTATAACTATTTTATAAACTAACCTGAAAACCTCACATAATTAAGTCTTAGAATCTTTGGAATTTTGTTTATAATTCAAGTTACAGAATATACATTATCTTTTATGGCGCCGGCATGTGTCACCTTCAGTTCAACAAGTTAATTTAGTTTATTGAAATGTTTCTGTTTGAAAAGTTGTTCTCTTAAACTTGAACTTATTAGCCACTGTTTCTGTGGTTCGAATGCATGGCATTACCAATGGAGTGGAAAAATAAAAAGCAAATAGCCGCTTTTCGAGATCAAAACAAACTTGGCCAAAGGCATGGAAATAAAGGTACTTGAGTAGAGAAAGTCGGGTGGCGTCGAGGCTTTTTTTTTTTTTTGGTTCACATGATTGATGAACTCGCGAGACGAAAATACACGAAATTGGTCAACAATTTTGTAATATTTGACATGAAAACAATGAAATGTGGGGTTTGTGGCAAGTTGTCCTGTTGTTGCGACTTGTCCTGTGGCCGTGATCGATTATCCATGCAGCAGCGACAGCGGCAACAATTTCGTAAATTAGCCAAATCGAATGGCCAAAACGTGCCACCACCAACCAAATAAATAATAATAAAGTAATCTATACCCTGGCCCCACTATATGTCTGACCCATTTCGGGTAGCAGCTCACTATCAAGAGCCAAAAATCAAACAGTTTTTGCTCTGAGCCAAGTATCCGTACTACCAATTACACTTAACAAACTCATTATGTTCGACTGGCAGTTGTAGTCGCAAAAATGTAACTACCAGCGGGTGTTGCATGCAGTGAAAACTTTAACAAAAATGTTTCTCAAAAAAAAAAAACTCGAAAAAAAATCCCAAAAAATATAAACAACAAGCGTTGGAGTAGCCGGCACAATTGTGTTGAAATACACAAATCTCATACTCCCGGCCAAGAGGGTGGGGCTCGGTTTGGGGCCAAAACATTTATGCCTAGAACTCGGCCCGCAAAGCACATAAAATTTATGCCAGCTGCCCAGCTCACATTATTATCGACTTTTATCGATACGACATTTGACTGTTGGCCAAAACCCACAAAAAAAAAAGCAAAGGGGTAAAAAAAAATCAGTAACATAAAAAGACAGAGCTGGCCAAGTGTAATTGAGTTGGCAGGCAACTTCGCATCGTGTTAACTGTTTTTTTTCCTTTGCCGTCAAAGTGGCCAAAAAGAATGCGATCTTGGATTAATTTTGTGGCGACTATTTCAACAGGTTAGAAGCTAAGTTGGGACTCTGGTTTCAGTTTATTAAAAGTTAATACATAATTGAGTGTTTGTTTTAGATATTTTTTATAGTACTAGTTCCATTACCAACTAAGATTTGTTAATTATTTTATTCTCCTTTAATCAGTGTTCTATATACATTCCCTTTTATATTAGTTTAGTTTTTTTTATTTGATTCTCTATTTGAAAATGCATAGTTTTCTGATTTTGTCTTTATAAATCTAATAATTTCTTTAACAAATATTTAAAACATTCAAAGAAAAAGAAACCCCCATAGGCCCCAAATTTCCTGTCCATCAAGTAGGAAATGGCATCTTCGTGCTTCCTGCTCAGCCTGAAGCCGAACCTCAAGCTTGATGATCACTTGAGGATGTTCGCCAAACCATTTCTCCACTCGACGTCAAACATTTCACATTTGGGGCCGAAAGACTTGGCCAGCCTCTTGACAGTATTTTTGAGGCTTTTTCAACGGCCCGAAGTGGTCGATGATTTTTATTGAATACCCTTATGTTTTTCAAATGATTTCTCTTTTTCAAAATTGCATTTTTTGTTTGTGTCTTTCAGTTGAGTTCCCGGAAAAGGACAGTGATATGTTGATGGAGCCGAATGACTTTTCGCCAATCACAGTGTTGCGTTCCCATGAGCAGCACTTCCATATGCCACCGACCACGCAGCTGCAGCCACAGACTCACCAGCACCAGCAGCCCAGGATCCTGCCCCGGGCTCAGCCCCGACAGTTCCAGTCTCCCAGCCAGCAGCAGGATCCCGAGGAGGAGCAGTTCCGCCCCATCGCCAATCCGAATGCCAAACTCCTAGCCAGATCCTCTGATGCGGACTCGCACTCCCAGGCGGCCCAGAACTTCTACCCTCCCTTCTACCACGAGGCCCCGCCTCTGGGCCACTCTCGTCCCTACTTCGGTCATGGTCCTGTCTCGGAGAGCACTCCCCTCTCCCTGCCATTGCCACTCCTTGGTCCCCAGCAGGCACCCACTCCCCAGCAGCAGCAAGCCCAGCAGGCGCACCAGCAGCAGCAGCGGAACTTTGATGCCAGTATCCTGGGCAGTGGAGACTTCGGAGTGCTGCGCGGTGGCACCTTCTACCCGGAGGAGGAGATGCCCTACCACCCGGAGGACAACAGCGATTACATCTACGGCGACGCCAACAACGGACACGGTCGTCCCTCCGAGGGATTCATCCAGAAATACACTTATCCCGAGGAGCAGTTCGCCAATTTCCGGGACTTTGCGGACATAAACACGCCCGCCGACTCGGCCTTCTCCCAGTTCGTGGTGGTCTACGCGGCGAAGAATGCGACAGCCCCGCACTCGCATCCGCATCCGAAGAACATCTTCGAGCAGCTGGAGCTACTGGACCGGGAGAAAGAGAAGGAGCAGGAACTGGCCAAGAGCAAGGCCAGCTCCAAGGCCAAGACCAAGCTGGCCAAGACGAAGCTGCAGAAGAAGTACAGAAAGAAGGTGGTGGCCAAAAAGACGCAGGATCCCCTGGAACTGGAGCCTCTGCTAGCTCTCAGCTAAATTCAAAGGACTCCCATCCGACTTTCCAATCGTTTTCCAACTGTTAGATTTTATTTATTTTATTTCGAGATGAATGCAAGCTACCACAAAGCAAAACAAAAAAAGAAAGAGTTCTATATCTTCAAGTCCTCCCATAACTATCCTTTTTTCTTCACATTTCCACAAAATATTTGTAATTCATTCATAAATACTAGAGTGTGTGTTTTTTTTTGTTCTGTCTGCTTTTTGTCTCGCATCGATTGTTAATACTTAAAATTAGCCAGTAGTCTACTCTATATATATATATACATACATATGTCTTCAGATCGGATGTATAGTATATATACCATGGGCATATTCTGTATGCCTCTATACGCGTATCTAATGTAATTATTTTTTGTCTAATTGAGCATAATTTTATTATGTGTGTGTACATAAAACGAGAAATGTTAAATGTAATTTTAAACCTAAATAAAAACGAAATAAAAACAAGTTAAGGATGGCTTTTATTTTACTAGGGAGGGGTTTTAATCGAGAGGGGAATTAAAAGGCTAGATTAAGAAGTGAAAACCAAACTACTACTTTTTAATAGAAAAGTAAAGCCTTAAGTAAAGAAATATATTAGACAAAATAAACATGTATTTTTATTTAAAAAAAAAATTATATTTTACTTATTTTAGTTTACCAATAATTGTTCATATTTTTCACGACTGTTCAAGACTAGACATTTTTTCAGAAAACCAGCCAAAATTATTAGTTTATCTCATACTTGGCATAGAGAGCATTTAGTAAAGTTGTAAACGAGCCAGCTGTCCTAAAAATCTATAGCAAATATATACAACAAATTTATAAAGTATAAAAAATATATGAAAATTAAGTATTAATTCATGCATTTACAAAAAAACTCACCCAGACCAGAAGAGGCCTTCCCAGTTGAAAGAAATAAGCCCCCAGCTCCGTGTCTTTCTGCGAACGTTGCAATGGAATCAGCAGGAGTCTTCGATGAACTGGTCCTAGCCCTTGCCAGGGCATCACCTGGTACAGCTCCCTGGCGAATCCTTCGGCCTCCAGACGCACCTGCTCGGCGCCAAACAAATAAATACACAACTGAGTGGTCACCACCATTGAAAAGAAGCCAAGAAAGGCGAAATTCTGATTTGTATGCGGCATGATGTATTGGCAGATCACCGAGCAGTACAGGACACAGATCACCAGCACCTCCACGAAAGCTATCTCCTTGAAGCTGGCATTGAAGAATCCTATCAGTTTAAGGAGACGAGCATGCTCCGAGAATAGTTCACTCAAGCCCAGATCGGTTCGCGATGGATCGGATTTTTCGGAAAGTATTTTTAGTTTCTGACCCAGACGGCGGTATTGGGAACTCAATCCCAGGGCACACCACCCGTAGAGTGTGTCCACCGCAGTGGTGGAGCAGCAGAAGAACGTCAGGACGAATACCATAAGGCCACAGTCAAGGGCATAGATGTAGGGCTGTGTGACATCATATGGGAGGCTGGAAAGAGACAACATCGTGATTTTAAGAGGCTTGAAAGGAGTTTCTTTAAAAGGATATACCATTGTTATAGAAACCTAGAACTTACAGCACTCGAAAGGAACTAACAGGAACAAACTCTCCAGTTCTATAAAATCTAAGCAGAGTCATCACTAAAGGCATCACCCAAAAGGACACACTCGTCCCGGCACACATCATAAAATAGACGGCTGCCAGAAGCTGGCCTCTTCGGTTCTGAACGCGCCACTGTTCCAGACCGATGTCCTCCCCTTGAAACGGTGCCTGAATCATCCTGACCAGGCTAACCAGGTCCTGGGACTTAACCAGAAAGATAGCCATCTTGAGAATTGAGGAAATCATTTGCAAGCCGTGCATCAGAGCCTCCGAACACAAAACAATCTGATTGCGATGTTCCACCATAAAGGCGCACACCGTACAGAGTTCAAAGCTGGTGGCCAGGACCATGATGCCGTAGAGGAGAGGAGATCGCAGGACTCGTTTCCCCTGGCCAGGTTGCAGATCCAAGCCCATTCGGGCGAAGGTGACTCGCTGAGTCCACAAATTCCTCAAACACACCTCGATTAGCTTTGACATTTCGAAATCGACTGAAGGCTGGGTATCCTTTTCCCTGAAGAATTTAAAAAACTTTTAATTGGACAGGTTTTTTAAGAAATACAATTTATGGGCCTCTATTTTTTAATTTTTTTGTTAACGCCCCACTGCCAACTTGGCCAAAAGTGAAACGGCCAGCAAATGATTTAATTACCCGCCCCGGGCGTCTATCGGTCTAAACTTGGTCTAAACTTCACACCACACCTGTCCGAGACACTGGCTGGCGGCTCACTGGTATGTCATTGTACGTTTCTGGATGTGGCCAATAATGATACAAATACTTATGAATTTTAATAACCCATTCATTTTCTCATTAGCCACATCACTTTAATTGTCTCTGCTGGGCTGGGATTGTGATTTTATTATCATGTTAATGGCTTGGAAATTGCTGTTCGATGGCTATTTATAATTTTATTATTTAATTAGTCGAGGGTATGAGCTTACTTAAACATTTATTGAACTCTATTAGTTATCATAATTATATTTATTGAGATATTTTAAAGAGGTTTTCATAAAATAGATGGTTTATTTAATAATATTCCATGGCATAATTTTGGAAAATAATTTTGAGAGCTAAGTATAATCAATTGGACGCTATTTATAATTGATTTAATTAGTAAGAAAAATCGTCAATTGAAGTATTTATTATTTCATAATTATTATTTTCTTATATATTTTTAGGAACTTCTAACTGAATAATTTCCAGACCAAGACCAAGTATTCTATGACCCATTGACTTTAATAGTTCTCTTTTCTACCATAAATATTTATATTTTTGTTTAGAAACTATTCAAAAGAAAAAGATTGGAAACTATTAAGAAAAACAATAGAAAAATATTAAAAATCGCAAGACTATCATAAAAATTCCACTTAACTAGGATTTTAATTTTTTTGCTATGCAGACAACCACTGTGCCCCCCATTCATCATGGTTAACGGTAATGCTAGTGGCCAGACTGCTGGTCTTACCACTCCGAAAGCCCCGGCCCAAACGAAAAACCGTCCAAACAGTCATGGTCATTGTCCGCTAGCGGTTCTTGCCGTCGTGGGTTGATTTCTCATTTTTTTTCTATCCATTTAGTGATTTTTCTGCATTGGCTATGCGTTTGTTTATCTAGAAACTGACAATTCCCGAGCTTGACATTCGGAGGCTGGCTTTCAGGCTTTATTTACGGCCTCACCTTAGTTCATATCTCATTTGTTTTTTTTCCCCCTCCTCAGTGCGTGTGGAACTAAATCTGGTCGCTTTGTTTGCTAAGTGTTTTAATTAACTGAGAAAACTAATTAAAAAGTCTTGGGCCCGCCTCCGGCCTGACAGAAATTCAATTAAATGGCAATTGCCGCCCCTTTCTGTATCCGATCGTGGGAAAATCAAATACAAACTACAAATAACCTAAAGATATGTTTATTTGATCAGTCGAACAATAAATTTATTCAAAGCTCAGCTGCAACCTCTTCGTTATTTACATTTTTCAAAAAAAAAACATTACAAAAAATTGACAAACTACAAGTCATTAAACATACTCGATGCTTGCTTGCCGTTTAAATTAGAATGCAATTTTGTGATCAGCAGCTTCTTCAGTTCGAGAATAAAAGAATCATTCATTTGATCGGCCATAAATGCAAAAAACAATCAAGCCCACACTGCGTACTTGATGGCTCTGGCTGTGGCTGTGGCTCTGTATTTTTTCTTCTCAGCGGCATTTAAGCAATTTGCTAATTAATAGGTTGGCCGGCAGCTTTTCAAAACGATCGGATTCGACTTGCAAATGCCTTAATTAATTAATATGCATAAAACACTGCCAATTATAGCCACTCATAATCGCTGTGGGAAAGGTGTGTAAATGATAAATGGTGGCTCTTTGTGAAAGATATAAAATGTATTTATATTTTCATATTTATTTTCCTATAGTCTCTGAGCAGAAAATGTCATTTATGGCCAAGAATCAGAGACTGGCACACCTCCGACATAGTTTTTGGCAGCATTTTAAGGCCATTTGTCAACGCGCCCTGCAAACGAAATAAAAGACAACAAAAATTATAAAATAAAACCAGAAGAGAAAACTTGCATTTGTGGGTAGTTCGAGTCTTAAATGCTCTTTGAGGATATTATTAAGAAAAATGTGTTTAAAAAAGGACCATAAGATTCTCCCTACTGTAAGCTTTAGATAGGAGTATGTTTTTCATACGATTTATTTTAAAAATTAAAAGAGCATCCTTTTGAGCCTAAAATTCCTCAACAAAAATCAGAACCAATCCAGAGCCAGAGCCGCTCGAACACCCACATGGCCCCATAGTCTGTCGGCTTTGGGTTGTCGTCGTGTTGCCAATAAACTTGGGCCACGAAAATTTGTACAAAAATCTCCAGCCAAGCTGCCAGGCACGAGCACTACAAATCTGGCGACAAGTAACCAAAAACACAAAAAATATCAAGAAAATCGAAGTAAAAAAAAGGTTTACACACTTGGTTGGCATCCGTTAGTGGCCTTATTTTTGTTTCGGCGGCAGCGCTGGCTTTTTTTTTTTTTTGGCTATTTGCGTTTCGTGCCGCTGAAATGCTGAAAACTTTATTAATATCCAAATCGTGAGCTTAATTGAAATTTATTGTTAATGAAAACAAAATTATGGCTGAGACCAAAACTACGGCCACTTGACACGAAAGAACCTCGTCTTGGATTTGGTTTACACACTCCTCACTTGCAGAGAGAAAGAGAATCTGAAATTGGTAACGAGTTTCGCCCACAAAAAGTCACGATCTTACTTACCAAAATAAAAAAATGTATATACAAATCTGGCCAAGAAGGGACCCAACCCCGTGGCAGAAATGTTGTCATTAATTTGGCATTTAAGATCTCATTAAGGTGACAGACTGTGACAGCCAGAGTGACAGAATCGGTGGGTGTACACAGTACAGACACATGTTTGCCCAAAGAACTGGCCAATCTATAAAGAAACTTGTGTCTTGAAGATAAAAAAAAAGAGTATGTACTCGAAAACAATTTCAAAATCATGACCAGCTCGAGTTCTTTAAAGCCCTTTTCCGATTCCAGTTCGAGATCGAGTGACTCGCAAGTCAAATATTTACTTTCCGTCCCAAAAAACAAAAATCATCGAAAGCCCAGAGTCATCGATTTTCTTGACGTTCTTTTGACTTTTCTTGTCGGCGGCTTCTGTTTACCAACTTACTGGGTACTTTGGGCCTCTCTACCCAGACTCTAAGGCTCCGAGGCCTTTCACAGTTGCCAACTAATGCAAATAAATTTTTTGAGCAGTCACCTGTCAAGCATGCTGCTCATCCAGTCCCAAGTCCCTCAGACTTGATTTTTTTTGTAGTTTTTTTTTATTTTAAGGTACACATATTTTCTGCCTTGAGGAGACTGGATTTTAAAGCTTAGGAAGCGCGATTGTTGTGTGCGTTCCTCGGAAAGCTGGGTTTTAGGGTGCATTGCATAAATACACTTCAAATAAAAATATGAAGCTATTGAAAAAATATTGAAAACATAACTAGCCCTCTTGGTAAATAAAGAAACTAGGGACTTTGAGTAAGAAGTTCCAGTAAGAAGTAAACAGTTCTTAGAAAGAAAAAAGAAATTTTGTAGACAAGCCCCATTTTTAAGGATCAGCTTCACACATTTTTGCAAATTTTTTTTTTGGTAAGTGTTTTGGTTAAAATGTGCATGTTGTTGTCATTTGTTCGTGGCTACCGAACATTGTTTGCCGTTCTCATTTGGATTTAACATGCTTCCTCTCTCCGGCAAACAGGCAAACTTGCTTTTTGAGCCAAAAAATAAAGAGAAAAAAACAAATAACTTGGCAACTGTCAATGTTAATGCTGGAAACTTGAAAAATTTCAACAACAGCCGCTGATGCACAGCAAACGGGGCAAAAGCAATTGTTGTATTTGTCGTTTTGTAATGATTTTAATGCCAAGCATAAACAATTATTTTCAATTGCAACACATTCTTTTGTTGTTTGTCGGCCGCCATTTGCCATCGTTTGTTTTCTGTTTTCTGATTTTTTTTTTGTGCAATTGGAATTGTAGATTTAAGATGTCGCAGATGTTCAGATGACTCGCAAAGCAAAGCCGAGAAGAAGTATGCCTTCTACGACAGGTCGATGAGTCAGTCAGTCACTCAGTCAGTCAATCAGGCGCTCAGTCCATCCATCAGTCAATCAATCAATCGGATACTCAATCTCTTGGCTGCCAAGTCAGCCTGCACGTGTCGTTGGGTATTCGCTCTGCCAGGCTAGCAAAAAAAAAATTATAATAATACATTTTCATGCCCAAAAAAATTCAAAAAACAAATAGTGAAGATTACGCAAAAGTTTTTCCTGATTTTCCACAGAGGCATCTCCAAAGTGTTAATGCTCATTGTTCAAACAAGCGATCATAATGATTACTCATGTCAATTATTATATAAGACAGATGTCGGCATGCGGCGAAAGCCTCAAAGAGCCAACAACCGACAACAGCAGCAACATCAGCAGCAGCAACAAGCAACCAAAATAACAGAGGCAACCGAACTGCAATTGATTTTGTTGTATAATTTCTACAGCTTTATCTTGTCGGCAGCTGCAGGAAATTTATTGAAGATGCTCCATGCTTTATTGCCATCACTTGGGGAGCGGGAGGGCTGCTGAACTTAACGAGCTGACGAGCTCTGCAACACACAACAGAAAATTTCGCAAAACGAAAGACTTAAGGCACGAACTTGGTTTTATTTTTTTGGCCTGTTTTTTTTCTCCTTCTTCTACTACTTTATTTTTGTGCGTCGTAAAAATTATCATTTTTGATCTAAATTACCAGTGAGCTTTATTTCAATTCATCTCAAGTTGCATTTATCTGGAAACGATTTATGACAGAAAAGTGAAGAATTTATCCTTCGAAGTATTACAAATTTTACTAAATAATAATAACTTTAATTCTGCGATAAGCATTTTATAGCCATTACTATACATGTTAGAAGAATGTAAAGTCCTTTT